TTAAGTCATCAGTTGTTTCATCATCTTTGCCTGCACACAAGTTTACTACAGCTCTCTTTGCTTTGTCAAATAACTCAATCTCTTAGCATCAACAACTCAAGCACCCATCTGCTTTCACTCACAAATTACTGGCGTCGGCCTTTTCTCATCCTCGTTCCATCATCTCATGCAATTCCTTTGCTCATGAAAAGAGTCACAGGCTTTCCTTTTCGTTATCTGTGCATAGACCTACTAAATATTTAGAAATAGTTCACACTGATGTATGGGGGTCCTTCCCCAATTTTGTCTACACAATAGTTTAAATACTACATTGTCTTTGTAGATGACTTTATAAGATACACTTCGGTGTATTCGTTGAAATCAAAATTTGATGCATTCTCTATATTTCGTTAGTTCAAACTATTGTAGAACACCAATTTCAATTGCCCATTAAAATAATTCAATCTGATTATGGCAGTGAATTTCTTAATTATAAGTTTCAAAACTATTTAAAATTTATGGGTATATTTCATTATCTCACATGCCCTTATACGCCACAGCAAAATGGCATCGAGCGCAAGCATCACTACTTATTAGAAACCATGAGAGCACTTCTTTTGCATGCCAATGTACCCTCCAAGTATTGGGTAGACACCTTACTCACATATGCATACCTTATCAATAGGTTACCCTTAACCTCCCTCCAAAACATCTCCCCATTTCAAAAGCTTTATAATTGATTATCTATATATGACCACTTTCGTGTCTTCAGCTGCTTATGCTGCCCCTGGCTCCCTCCTATATATCAATCGCCACAAATTCCCACCCCGCTTCCTTCCCTGTGTATTCCTTGGGTATGCCACTCAATCTAAAGGTTTCAAGCACTTGGATACAACCACATGACAAATTTATATCTCCCGCCATGTCCAATTCTTCGAATATATATTCCCATTTCAAACATCATCTACAACTCCATCAACCACTATACCTTCCGTAACAGCTCATTCGGACCAATTCAACATTCACCCTCTAGCACATGTACCAATTCCTTCCCTACTTAGCTTCATTACAACATCCACACAAAGTATACCCCCAGCCCCTCTAACATCAATTCCCTCATTTAATCTTCCATCTATTCCCACATTTCCCACTTCTACATCAACACCTCCCTTAGTAATATCTCAAACCATGCCTGAACCTCCCCTAGCACCTCACCGTCATTCTATGATCACCCGCAAATAGACTGGACATCTTAAACCAATACTTATTTTTGATCTACACAATGTTCTTCCTGTTCTCTTACCTTTGATGTCCTTCACAGAAGCTAATAAGTATCCAGCTTGGCGAACTGCCATGTTTACCAAATTCTAGACGTTACTTCAACACGGTACTTGGTCCCTTGTCCCATCTCAATCAATTAGAACATCCTTGGATGCAAGTGGTTGTACAAGATCAAGTTCAATACATATGGTTCTATCTCATTTCATAAAGCTATGTTAGTAGCCCAAGGCTTTAAACAACAATTTGTCATAGATTATATAGATACCTTCAGCCCCATGGCTAAAGTTCCCACCATTCACCTTCTACTTGTTGTAGCCACCATTTTTTAGTGGTCAGTCCTCCACTTAGATGTTTTAAATGCCTTCTTACATGGCATTCTGAATGGAATAAGTCTTCATGAAGCAACCTCTTGGTTTTCAAGATCAACAACTCTCAAACCACGTCTGCAAGTTACACAAAACAATTCACAGGCTAAAACAATCACCTCGCCAATGGTTTGCTACATTTTCTTCCCATCTATTAGCCTATGGTTTCACTCAAAGAAAGTCTGACCCATCCTTGCTCTTTCTTCGTAAAGACTCGATCTCATTGTATCTCTTGGTTTATGTAAATGACGTACTGCTCACAGGTAATGACATATCAAGCTATCCTGGATCACCTACTTCGAAGTTTAAACTCCTCCTTTCGCATGAGGAACCTTGGTCCAGTCTCCAATTTTCTCAGAATTCAAATCACTAGACACAAGCATAGGCTGTTACTATCAAAGTCTCGTTACGTTGTTGATGTTCTCAATAAGGCGGGAATGCTTCACTATAACCCTGCTTCAAGTCCCTTGCCAACAAAACTTTAGCCTTTATTTTGTATGAACTCGGGAAAGTCGTCAGTCTATTGGTGAGGGGTCATCTTTAGGATTAAACCATTATTCTGAGTATCATACATGATCAGATATTGTTGGAGGAAGGTAAAGGGGGAGGGTATATGGCTTGAGTTCATAAGGTTATGCTTATGAGGGCAATTCATCTACCTTAGCATTTTATGATCCTAGTGAATGTGAAGAAAGTGTAAGCCAGAGGGTTGCAGCACTGATAAGAGAGATAGAAGAGATGAGAAAAATGAGATGTAGGCAGAGCTGTGATACTATAGAGATGAAAATCAAAAGAAGAAAGAGCAAGAGCAGTCACATGCATCACCAAATAACGAGGACACGAAGGATGATTATTACTCTTATTTGTTTGATGAATTTATGATGAAGTTTTGTGTGAACTTATTTGGTTTGATGAACTTATGTGAAAGCGAAGACTTTATTTATTTATTTGGTTTGATTAATTTATTTGTTTTGATGAACATATTTATAATAATTATTATGATTGATTATAGTGGCGTGTAACCCATATTTGTGATAATTATTGTATATTATGTACAGATTTAGAGTTTAGGATAAAATTCAGTTAATATAGAGGGGAGGCTATCAATTTTTTTTCAAATAATATAGGTTTCTAGCAGCCAACCGCGGTTTGGCCACCGGAAACATCGATACCGGACGACTAATCATAGTCGCCGGTAATTATCGGCGGTTTATAGATGATTGTCGGTGGTTATCCGATGATAATCTGACAGTTTATGATGTTCGCCGACATTTAACCATCGATAATTCTGCAGTTTGGCCGCCGATAACACCAATAATTTTAACAGCAGGTATGCCACCAATAAATAACTAGCAGTCACCGACATTACTATCGTCGAAAATTACGGGCCGTCTATGCCGCAGAAAGCTGCCAGTGATTAAAACCGTCTGAAAAAGGCCGTCGAAAATTATTTCCTATGCAATTTTTTTCGGCGGTTTTTGAACCACAGAAAAGTCGCTGGTTTTTTACAAAATTGCCAAAAATCTATCATTAAAACCACCGATAATGTCTGAATTTCATGTAGTGCAATGACTTCTCACATACTTTCACATTGCCTTACCCACACAAGACCTAATTCAACGCGACAACATTTTGGCACTAGCATTAGCAAATAACCTCGTATTTCATGCATGTACCAAACACAATGAGATTAACTATCACTTTATTCGAGACTTCATCAAGGCTCAATAGGCTATAGTGCATCACATTTCCTTCCATAATCAACTAGAAGAAATATTCACTAAACTGGTCTCCACCTTAAACACATTTTCAGCAGTTACGATCCAAGCTTATAATTCATCAACCATTGTCCGCTTTAGAGGGGGGAGGAATAGTAGACAAATAAAATCATTACAACATATTTTCACTTCTCCACTATTTTGTCACATAATAAACTGGTGTACATCTTGCAATCCTACAGTTTATCTCCTTCTACTTATATTAGCCATAAGATTTACTTAGCCAAGCTATATATTATAATGCAAGGTTTATTATAGCAATATACAATATATGAACTCTCTTCTTCCTCACTTGTTATTCCTTCTCTACCCTTCTTTGTTCTTCTTGCTTTGTTTTATGTGCATGTGATAGATCTTCACATATTTAAATACTGCTAGCCATCACTCAAACATCTAATAGGGTTGCCTAGCTATAAGCCAAAAGAAGAGAGAGTTCTCTAAGGTGATATAATCTCCATCAGTACTTTAGAGAGATATCCCTATTATGATGATGCCATCAAGTGCAAAAGACAATGAACCAGATCATAATAAAAGGATGGCAACTAGATCAAGCACTACAGGAAAATCTGTCATTACTGTCGGACTTTCCGGCGGATATTGTTACATCAGGAAAATCGGTGAACTAACCAGCGGAATATACGTCGGTAACTTAACGACAAAATGTCCGGTGAAATTTCCGTCATTGAAACACCGACACATATTCCGCCTGGTTTTCACCGGTATTTTAAAGCTTTCCGACGCAATTTCCGCCAATAATAATTGGCAGAATTACCTGCAAATATTACGCTGGCTTACTTAAACTCGACGAATACCGTCGTATTATCCGTTGGTAATATGACCGGAAAGTTTGACAGAAAGGGATCTCCACGCACAATTGGCTAGGAATTAGTTCCCACTTAGATTTATTTAGAAGTAAACAATCTATTTAGTTGTTCTAAAAACTATTCATCTACAATGGTGAAAATAGAGAAGAAGATCATAATATTGGTCAATGCAGTCATAACTTTGTTAATGGATTGATTAGCATGACAGTATATCAAAAGTAGATTAATGTTCTAAAAAATATGTCAATATGACAATAGATTTTAAAAATTTTAATGTGCACAATTAATTCATTTATGAGTCCCTTGATAATTCTAAATTATTGAAATATTCTTAAGGAGAGCAAATGACCAAAAGGTTCTCAAGGCCCCCCTTATGATTGAATTCACCTCTAGGGTTTGATTTTCAAAATTCTCACTAAGGTGATTTTCATGACATGTCAAAATATCTTTGGAGACACTTAGGCTTCGTTTGTGATAGCTTTCTTGTTGCTTCTTAAAGCAATTTTTTAGTATAAAAATTAAAATTTTGTACTAAAAAGTTTCCTTAAGAAACAATAAAAAAGTCATCCCAAACGAAACCTTAGATATGAAAAACTTGCTGATATATTTTTAGAGCTCCTTTAATGAAAACAATTACTAAAATGGCCATAAGCAAAAGTACTGATGATCAAACATAAACCTTGGATAAAAGATCTAACACAATTTGATCCAATAGCCACTAACCTTCCTATAATTCTTCTCTAAACACAAATTCTATATGAATTCAAATCTGCTAGAAGTCTGAATCAATCACTAACTTTCTTTCTTTTCCTCAAATTCTAGACTACAAACAAACCACAATGCAGCTTCAACACAGCAAAACAAGTTTTTTTCTTCATTAATTTTCATCCTAACTGAAAAAAAAAAAAAAAAATTCAATCTCACAAACACTTGAGAAGAGTCAGTTCAACATTTGAAGAGTCAGTGTATTCCAATTGCCAGCTCTGTCTTCCCAAAGTGATCTCCAGGTCAGGCATTTTCTTCATCATGAGCTTGCTGCTATCAGACGAGATGAGCCTCTCCTTAGCCATATTTCTTTCCTCCATTTGCAGCTGCATTGATGAATTTAAGGCTCTATCTTCTTTTCCCCATTTTTCCTGCTTCAGTTAATGTCCCAAAAGGTGTCAGTGATTTTAAATTAAAAATAACTCAGAATATTACATATTAAACATATTCATCAAATATATTCTTTGCTGAATCTGTTATTAATCAAAATTAAATTTGACTTAGGCTTGATTTGAGACAGCTTTCTTATTGCTTTGTAAAACAGCTTTCTATTATTAAAATTTATAGTTTAAAAAATTTTTGTACTAAAAAACTGTTTGAGAAAGCAGTAAGAAAGCTGCTCCAAAGAAAACCTTTGAGCCTCTTTGTAATGAATATAATTTTTATGTAAAGATAGGGAAAGTGACTTTTTTGAAAGCTGATGTATAAAATAACTTTGTAAAACAACTTTTGAGTACAAAAATTTATGATTAAAAAAATATTTGTATTAAAAAACTGCCTAAAAAAATAATAAAAAAATTGTCTCAAATAAAACTTAAGTTTCATGATATCTCTAAGAAATTAGTAATATAGCATGGGCTTCTATGTGTATATCCTTGCGAAGTAAATTAAAATTTTTTTCAATTATATTACTAATTACCTGTTGATTTTCTTTGCATTGGAAGCTGTCACTTCTAAGCAGTGTAAGTGATGGCACTCTTCTCATCAATGATGAATTCCAACCATTTTCTTCTGAGAAAAAGTAAGGCTCTCTGCTCACAAAGAATTTGAAGTTTGATTAAATCAAAACTAATTTTGATCATAAAATAAATAAAAGCCAATAAATTTCTTATATTGTGAAAACCAAAGTTTTTTTTTTTTTTAATTTTTTGGGACATTAGAGTCATTAAGACAAATTCATACATGCATTGATCACAGAAGTAAGCTTCGAATCCAAAACCTTTTGGTTAATAGTCAAAGCCCCCAACTATTAGACAAAGGCTTTGTTTGGGATGTCTTTCTTAATTACTACTTCGGTTGCATTTGGGACGTCTTTCTTACTGCTTTCTAAAGCAGCTTTTAAGTACAAAAAAATTTAGAACTAAAAAATTTTATACTATAAATCTGCTTCAAGAAGCAGTAGTAAGAAAGCCGTTCCAAATAAAACGTTCTTAAATCAACTTTTTAGTACAACAATTATAATTTTCGTACTAAAAAGCTGCTTTAAGAAGCAGTAAAAAATCGTCCCAAATGAAGCCTGAGATGAGCTACGTAAACCAAAGCTTTCCACTTACAGTAAAAACTAAAAAGTATCGAAGCAGTCTAAAAGAATTAGTCTGATCGTCCTGGCCGATCGCCACATCGTCCAGGACGATGTAACCAAATTCAAATCGTACAGGACGATTTTCTAGGACGATAATTTTGGTTTTTCTCTCGGGATTTTGCCATGCACTGATCGTCCCAAGACGATCCAAAATCGGCCTGGACGATCCCACTCTAGAAAAATCAGCTGTTTCAATGCACTGATCATCCTGGACGATCTCAATATCGTCCCGGACGATCGTGGGGGAAAAACTCAAATCTTGGAAGGCAAATCAAAGGAAGAAGCTCTCACAATCTCCCCACCTTAGAAAAATGTCATCCCGACATTTCCCTAAGGGTCCGAATCAAGATGAGACAAAACAAATCCAATCAATCAGAAAATTGTACAAATTACATCGAAACAGACAATAAACTAAACTCGTACCAGTCACATCTTCAGGCACTGAAGAAACATCTTCCACGCATTGCTTGTATGTTTTCAGTCTGAACATTCGGAACAGGTCCTTGCCTAATTCCAGAACTTGGGCATTCCGTCATTCTATGTTCATATGCACCACATCAGAAGCATTGCCCTGTTCTCCGATAACATTGTCCCGAATGTCTTTTCCCACAACATGTACAAACATTAAACATTGCTATGCTACCTTCCCCACTTTTCTTGCCACGGCCAGAGCGTTTTGCTAACTTGTCGCTCACCATTTGAGCGACCATGTTAGCAAACTTATTCATATTTCATATGTGAGCGGGAAATCAGTAGCAGACTCAACTATCTTTCCTTTCGGATCCATTGGCCTGGTCAATACAAATCATTCGAATCAAATAAAATCGTGGAAATCAAACACGTAAAACAAAACAAATCAAATAATGCAATCATCACTATTACTCTGGATATAAGCAAATTCTTTCACTACATTCGCTCTGATACCAATTGTGACGTCCCAGATATCAATAGTGAAAGGATTCGTCTGACATTCTTCCATATATATTCTTTTTTTTTTCTTTCTTCTCATTCAGATCAATACAGTAATCTAGAGATAATTGCATTACAGAAAAGAAATACAGAAAAGAGATACAACATATACTATAATTTACATTTCAACATATATACAGGTCAAAAAGAACGTCCAAAAGAATATGTACAATAGCCCTACGGCTACAAAACAAAAGCCTGTCATAGGCAACAAAACAATACGACACTAACAACCAAAGAAGCTTCACGCGGGAAGCTCTGCACCTGAAATATTAACCACATATAATGAGCTTAAATAGCCCAGCAGGTCACTAAAGCCTACAACTGAAATCAAAGCACGACACTGAAAACAATATGCAGGTCAATCAAATCAAGTCAAATCAATCAATCGTACATGATCAATGAGTCAATGCAGATACAAAATTCAACACGGAACAGAAATCAATAAAAATCATATACAACAATCAAATCAATAAATTAATAAACAATCAACCCAATCAATCAATCCATCAATGACCGGTATTATGAATCAATATATCAGTGGATCTATAATATCGGTATCCGTATCAGTAGCATCAATCATGTCCATGAATCAATGAATCCATAATATCGATAAATCAATAATCTCGGTATATGTATCCATAAATCAATACAATATCCATATCCATAACAATGTCGGTATCCATGAATCAATAACATACAATATTAATGAAATCGTGCAGTAACAGAAACCCATAAATTCGTCAATAAATCCAATCAGTAAAACGTCAATTTAATATAATAAATCCGTCAATATCAATAAATGAATCAGAAATCATCAAGTCATGCCTATCAGGAAATCCATACAATGCAATATCGTACACATTCAATTTCATACAATTGTCTTACTGAACAAGCATAAACACTGGCTATTATCAATAGTGCTGTTGTAGAAATCCATAGTGCTGTTGTAGAATCCATATTGCTGTTATAGATATCCATACGTTGGTTTCAATAAGAGTCGTCACTCTGTGCCCGTCGGCCACCCGTCGGCATATTAAACTCCTTATAACTCCCAATCGTTATATCAATGGTCAATGGTTTAAAGGAAAGCCCGTCGGCCCACCATCCTGTACAGGTCAAGTCAATCTCCAACCAACGTTCAACCAGGTTTCCACTTGTCTTTCAGTATTAATAGTCAATTCAATAGTCAATATAAGAACAATGCAGAGCAATCATATCAACATTCATATGCATATCTATTCAATTCATCAATCTTAGAAAAATCGGAAATCGTACGAAATTTCTGCGGCGTAACGGCAGTCTATCAAATTTACACAAAAATCCTACAAAATCACAATTCACCAAATTACAATAGAATGTTCACGACAATAATATAAGACTATTATTCTACTGAATCAATATCAATAAACATCATGATATTTTTCTATTCGATCAAAATCACGTAGAACCCAAAATAACCGGTGAAATCGTTCCAGAAAAAAATCAAACCGTGTAGAATATTCGTATCTATAACATATTAAAAGTTGTGCGGTGAAAGTTGTGTCAATACAAAACCGAGTCCATTTTTTGATCACAAAAATACAAAATAGTGCACAATACGATCAAAACTCAATATCTATTAAAACAGAAAAAGGATTCGGAGTCCTTACCACGAGATAAACACTTTTCCCAACAGCGGCGTCGGACGAAAAGCTCTCAGCGGTCTCCGAAAATGAACTTTTCCTTCGCTTTCCTTCTCTTTCTCTCTCCTCAGATATTTTTTTTATAAAATATCTTTCTCTCTCCTCAAAACGAGCTATTTCCTTATAACATTAGTCTGATCGTCCTGGCCGATCGCCACATCGTTCAGGACGATGTGACCAAATTCCAATCGTACAGGACAATTTTCCAGGACGATAATTTCGGTTTTGCTCTCGGGATTTTGCCATGCATTGATCGTCCCAGGACGATCCAAAATCGGCCTGGACGATCCCACTCCAGAAAAATCAGCTGTTTCAATGCACTGATCGTCCTGGACGATCTCAATATCATCCCGGACGATCCTGGGAGAAAAACTCAAATCTTGGAAGGCAAATCAAAGGAACAAGCTCTCACACCTACTTCATACAATACGAGTAGTAAAAATCAAGGTATCATCCAGGACGGAATCCGGGATGATAAAAACTCGTCTTTGTGCATCGTATTGTATGATATACATCGTATAATACAATTAGACAAAATAAGAGATCGTCCAGGATGAAGTCCGGGACGATCAAAACTCATTTCTGTTCATTGTCTAGTACAAACATGTTCGTACATCACGAGTACCAATCAGTGATTTACACCTTGATTTATTCCGCTAATCACAGGTTACTTTAAGTAAGTGTTCAAAATAATTCGTACAGTACGAATTACTTCGTACAGTACGAACGACTAATAAATTTGCTTAAAATAATATGGAAGCTAGGGTTTTGGATTAGTAACACATCGTATAGTACGATACAAATCGTATAGTACGATACAAATCGTACAGTACGATCTGTTCACAGAAATACGATTCAACTAGATCAGATCGTATAGTATGATCAACATAAAAAAAAACTATATTTTTCTTTTAAAACCCTCTCCCCCTGTGTGTGTGCATGATTGCTCATACTTACATGCAGTTTGTGGCCAGACTCAAGAAAAGAGAAAATAAAATAAATAAAAAATTACAAGGTTATAGACTCACACTCCTACTCTACCCAGTCTTGAGTCTTTCTATTGGTCTGAGTAACTTGTGATCTTCCTGAAATGTTAGTATTCACAGACAATAGCAAAAATCAAAGATATTCAATGAATAATATTTCATGCGACATTATTTGTCATCATCAAAATCTCAAATTCGGGGTCATGGATTGCAACACATATTCCACCGAGTTTTCACCAGTATTTTAAAGTTTTCAGACACAATTTTCGCCAGTAATAACTGGCGGAATTACCGACGAATATTGCGCTAGTTTACTTAAACTCGACGAATATATAGCCATCAACATATTATCCGTCAGTAATATGACCGACTGCTAATTCACCGGAAAGTTCGACGGAAAGGGATCTCCATGCACAATTGAGTAGGGATTAGTTCCACTTAGATATATTTATAAGTAAACAATCTATTTAGTTGTTCTAAGAACTATATTCATCTATAATGGTGAAAATAGAGAAGAAGACAATAATATTGGTCAATGCAGTCATAATTTTGTTAATGGATTGATTAACATGATATTATATCAAAAGTAGATTAATGTTCTAAAAAATATGTCAATATGGCAATAGATTTTAAAATTTTTAATGTGCACAATTAATTAATTCATTTATGAGTCCCTTGATTATTCAAAATTATTGAAATATTCTTAAGGAGAGCAAATGACCGAAAGATTCTCAAGGCCCCCTTATGATTGAAGTCACCTCTAGGGTTTGAATTTCAAAATTCTCACTAAAGTAATTTTCATGACATGT